TTATTCGTTTAACCATTTGTTATTTCGTTTCATTTTGTCCGATCAGTGGCTGTCTTAACGTAATTAATTTATTTCGATTTACGATTACCTTATCCACGCATGTTTTATTCGTTTAACTATAGTCGTGTTATTTTATTTGTTTTGCTCGTGGTTGTGTTATTATTCTATTTGCGTACTTCGTAACGTACAAATTCGTTCTACTTGTCTGACTTGTTTTCTATCTATCTAGTAATAATCTAGTCGTAATTATCTCTTTCGGTTGATCTAAACAATTTCCAAACAATCCTTTTTTCCCCTTGCCACTAAGATTACGCTAAAATTAGACTGGAAAACGTATTGGAGTGGAAGCGTAGAGATCTCGTTAACGCCTTAACTTTGACGTAAAAGAAAAAAAAAAACCAGGAAACGTTGGAGAAAACGTTTCGCGAATTCTCCTCCTTACTTTTTCCCCTTTTATCAGAGTTGCCATTGAGAGAATGACGAAGGCGAAAACAACGACGCCTCCGATATTTTTTCCGAGGCGCGCAGCGACATTTGGACGACACGAAGAAAGAAGAGGATCGAATCGAAGTGGGAAAGAAAGCAAGGAGGGGAGGCCTCAAGGACGAAACCTCTAACGAATAGAAGGCATAATGGATTCGCGAGCGGCCATTTCTGCCGGTGTTTATTATTCAACGATGCGATGAATTTCACGATGGTCCAAAAAATGGCGCGGGACAATGCGCTCGAACGGAATTTAAAGCGTGCTCTCTCTTTTAAAGCCACTTACCCACTGACTTCTGTATCGATATCTGCCCGACCATCCTCTTGCCTGCGAGGTCGCGAACGAACAGCCTTTTTCCGTCCATGAAAAATGGAGTGGAGAAAATGTCCTGTCCTATCCTGCTCTCCCCTTTTCTTCCGATTCATTGTCTTGGAAAATCTGCGTTGCGGATGACTTTTATCACCGGGGTAGGAGTGATGAGTGGGGATGGGGATTTTGTTACCAAGTTTTTAAAGGGATTATGATTATTCGGAGGATGGATGAATAAGATAGCGGATAAGTAAGAGGGATGGGGTGCTTTTTAAATTTGAAGGTTGTGGTATAATAGAGCGAGAAATTATTCAAATTTGGAAGGGAAATATTTGACGTTGTGATAATAGAGTGAGAATGTTTTAGAGAACGTGTTGCATAATTCGTATAAAGTTAGCTCTCTCAAAGAGGCTGAGAATTTTTGTGTAAACTAAAAGAAACGGCATTTGGAAATTTTTTAGAAATTGGGGTATATTATTTTATAACAAGTTATGAATATAATCATAGGAAGATTGTTCAAAATTGGGATGTTTCCTGCGATATAAATTGAAGGGCTGGTCGTATGATGGAATAACACGTTCATGCATGATCCTCGAAGACCGAGGACGCCTGTGAATCGATGACCATCGTGGCCTTTTAAAAACTTGATCGCGTGCAACTTCGTTCGCCACGATATAAAAGAGCACTCTTGTTTAATTCCTCCATACCATACAAGATTCGAAAACTGCTGAGCCACAAATTTTTAAGCACCCTTAAAAAGTGGAAAATCCGCAAAGTATGTGGATTTTTCCAATAATTCGATTATCTTTTCAAGGAAATTTGAACATCTCTTTTGAATTTATTTATTTCGAATTCACTCTCCTTTTTAAAGACATTTTGTGATATTTTTTTCGGGAATAGATCATATCAAAGGGATAACATATAATATAATAAAATAATTTCTAGAATTAAGAGCTGAATTTTATACTTCATAAAAGTGCAATTATTGTTTTCTTCTTCTTCTTCTTCTTCTTCTTTATCGAATATGCATATGTCAAAAAGAATGATAGAATTTTCACGAATGCGTCACACAAGAGAAAGTAAAATTTTATTTTTCACCGTCGATCTTTTCGAAGATAGAAATTCAAACATTGTCGAGATGAAAATTATTGTCGTGAGTGCTATGTTTATTTGGAAACACGGTTATACGATCCGAGAAACCGAGCAAAAGATATTTTTCCCTTCAACCGGTAGAATTCTAGGATCGATTCATAATCACGACCAATCCTCGCCCCCTTCGTCATGAAAGACATCCTTTCCATTTGCAAGCTCAAATTTCTCCATCTCATCTTTCGTGCGAGAGTGGTGGTGGGTGGGTTGGTTGATGGGACGATTACGATGGGACATGAATCTTGTAATAAAAGGATCCTTGACAAAAATCTAGAAAGAGAGGCCTAAAGACACGATGGGTAGTAATTATTCAGTACGAGAAATCGATGATAAATGAAATAAAGGATTTGCAATGATTTGCTTTTTTTTAATATATTTGCAAATTTGTTTCTTTGAAATTCATATTTTTGGATTTCTTTAGATCTCTTTAGATAGAGAATACTTAAAAAAAATTTTTTTTTTTGTTTTAAATTTCGTTTGAATTAAACATTTAAACGTTTAATAGTTTTCATTAAATTTTTAAGAAACTGCGATAAGATAAGTGTTTCTAAATGTTTCTCTTTTGGGAAAATTATTTTCCGAAAAAAATTCCCACTTTGCAAAATTTTTAATCCCATTACTTTATTCCAATCTTATTTGTTCTTATTTCCTTCTAATTAAATAAAAATAGAATTCTAATTTAATCTAAAAATATACGATCAAATCAATTTATGTTATGTCAAAAGATAATATCTCTCACGATAAAAGTTTTCTCACTACTGACATCTGATTTTAATTAAATTTCCATTAGATTTTTTTTTTCTTTGGAAAAAACAAATTCATTAATCTAACCTTTCCTCCTCCATTTCGCTCGAATAATGGAAACGAAGAAACGAGGATGGATCTTCTAATTTGATTATTTAAGAATGCGTAGTTATGTAGTATTATTAATTCTCGTTCATTTAACCAATCAGGAAAAAAATTATCGATCAACGAAACCTGGAGAAAATTCATAAGCTTTTCTTCTGTTTTCTTTCTCTTTCCTTTTCTTTTTTTTTCTTTCTTTTCTCTCTTTTTACTCAACTTCGACCGAGAAAATGGAAATTGTTGTAACGATGCCGACTGAATGCACAAACGTTTCGTAAAGTGAACGTCCAGGTAATTACTCGGTTCTCGTAGCTAATTACGATTTTTGCTTTTTAGTTGTTTCGCATCTCGATGGTGGAGTCGTTTTCTCGCACAAGCACAGACCGTATTACACGCGAACGAGCTTCTCTATTACGAAGATGGAAAAAAAAAGATAGAGGTCTATGGTTAGAAATAATTTTTAATCGGAGTAAAATTGCTTCTGCCTTATCCTGTAGATTTGAAAATTGAAATTAAATAAGATTTTAAAATATCTTGAATAATTTGTCGTTTTCCTTTCATATATATATATATAAGCTTTTAATTCGTTTTTATCATTTATTATGTTAATGTAACTATATTAAAATAAATATATTGTAATATTCTCAGTTTAAATAAGAAATTAAAAAATATTAAAAATGTTCACTATAAAACGTATCATGTAAATTCTTTTTTATTCGTTTGAGGAGATAAAAATTTAAGAACGTAACGTATCGTTACGTCAGATACGTTCTAATGGTAGAAAATAATACAATTTTAAATAGAAATACGTATTCTCGATATGGCTGCTATCGAATGAACAAAGAAAGACGTTTGTTTGTACGTGCGAAAATCCGCATCTTCGATATTTTTCGCAAATTAAAATTTATATTATTTTTCACGTATTAAAAATTCATCGATAATATGCAACGTCGATGCAGCATTTTCGATTCGTAGAATTGATAAAACAATACTCTCGTATCTCAGATTCAACGATCAATACTTTTGAAAGGCGTACAATATATCCAATGAATTGATAAAACAATACTCTCGCAACTCAAGATCCAAGACGAACGAAGACAATTTTCTTGAATTCCTGAAAGACGTGTAAACGTTCTCAACTCGGGTATTAATTTCTCACGCTGAGCCGAGCAACTGGTATTTTAGGTTTTCGCTTCGACGCATTCAATTTCCGGTCGAGGAGTGAAAGGAATCTACATTTCCGATATATTTTTGACGTCACCGAGCAGAAAGTGTCGTCAAGGATCGGGGAAACAATTGTCTCGATTGAACGATTCGATTCAAAAAAAAAGAAAATTTGAAAAATTTTATAGTCGATTCTTTAAAATCTCGCGGAAGAAAATGATTTTATATCGGATAAAAATTGTTATTATCTAGCTGTATAGACGAAAACGAGAGTCTGTACAAATTTTTCTAAAATATATCTACTATTTGATTCTTCGAATCAAAATATAAGTATAGTTTCACATAAGCTCGCTTTCAATTCTTGAATTCTGCCGTACGATACTTTAGGAGAAAAAAGGAAAGGGAATCACACAGAGAAGATGACAAAGTTATCTATAAAATATAGGTTGTAGCGATGAAACAAGTTTCACATGCCGGAAGCTTTTCTCAATTTTTCTCAATTTTTGATATATTGCGCATACTCGAAGCGTTTGCGCATAGGATGACCTATTTTAATATCATTTAATCCACAAATAGATTCGTCTATTAAATCTAGTCACTCGATTCTGGTAAATATCGAAGAATCGAAAAGGATCAAATGCACGTACGAATATCGATTGAATCGACAAACATCCCCAACGAGTGCAAAAAAGTCGATACGTCGGATTATTCGTAATCGGTTGAATTTTATTACATCATAGAATCGTCTTGATTAACATGTTTTCGATCGATCAATAAAACGTGACGATATATTGGAAATTTACTCGAAATTCTATTGTTCTATAAATTCTATCGTAACGCAAAAATAAATATTTATTTTTCTATCTAGAAAATTATCTGAATAATTACATTTTAGATCCGATATCGTCGAAGAGAAAAAACGAGTTAAACGGAACTAAAACAAAAAACAAACGTAGCTATCGACGAAAATGTATCGATCCCTGTTACGATTTACACGTCTCGACGGTATACGATATTATTGAACAATTGATATTAAAAATCAACTCACCGATACAACATCCGCTCTTGACGATCGGCCTCCTTATAAATCTTGTAATACATGGCGATCATGATGATCCCTGGCAGCCAGAAACTGACACTGGAGCTGATCACGGCATAAGGTTTGTTCACTTGGAACACGCACACGTCCGGATAATTTCTTCTGTACTCGAGGTGTTTCCCGGTGGTGTACCATCCGGCGAATATCGGCAGGAAGCTGATAACCGTTGGCGAGCACCAAACCACGCTGAGCATGGTGCTCAGCCGAAGATTGGTCATGATCAACGGATAGTCCAACGGTTGTACGATCGCGTAATAACGATCCACGCTGATGCAACAGAGATGAAGTATGGAAACGGTGCTGAAAAACACGTCCAACGAATTCCACACGTCGCACATAAAATAGCCGAACAACCATCTTCCAGAGAGTTCGACCGACGCGTTGAACGTCATTGCGAAAATGGCGACCAACATATCCGCCAGCGCTAACGAGACTACGAAGTAATTGGTAATTACACGAAGCTTCCTGTGCCTCATCACCGACACGATCACCAATAGATTGCCGAACAGGGCGCAGAGAATGATGAAACCCATCACGGTCGCTTTCACCGTTAAAAGAATAACCCGCTCCAATTCGTTGCTCTCCTCGTGGTCGTACAAGTTGGAGGAACGATTCGATTGACCGGTATCCACGAAAACATTCGAAAGATCGGGCAAATCGCTCGTATTCCCCATCTTCCATCCATCTTCCGTCGTTTCGTTCGCTTCCATCTTTTCTCTCTCCCTCTCTCTCTATCTTATTATTATTATCATCGATGTAACAGCATCGAGTGTTTGCTGCGATGTCGTTCCATTAATCCCATTTTTCCACACTCTTTTCGATCTTTTCGTTTTGTTTTTCGTTTTTTTTTTTTTTTTTTTTTGTATGAGATTTCGACGTTACCGAGAACGGAACCACCACCGCTCCGCTCTCTGTTCCGCTTCTTGGACGACCCCGACGACGAGGCTGCGAGAGAGATCCTGGCAGGCCATTGAAGAACGGAAATGAAGTTTGGTTAGTTTGTTAACGGGGGATATCGAAAGGTTTATGCGGGTTAGATGTTGATAGAAGCTCCATTCCACAGTTTGATGGTTTCCAGTCAAACACTTTGCCGGGATAATGCGAGTTGAAAAGCGAAATGGGATTGGTCGGAGGAAGAGGGAAGGAGTTGGTTTGTACGGATTCGAAGCTTAACCAAGATTCTCGAGACGACGATTCGTTGGAGACGTTCCAGAAGGTACGTTACACGGATGAATTTTGATCCGATGTATGATAGCTCGAAGTTTCTTCTCCCTCCCTCCGATTTTCGAACATGGTAAAAGCCTGGAATTGGAAAAGACAGAAGATCGAAATTGAATCGATGAAACGATTTTTAATCCTCTACTATCTATGCGATATATCCTTGCGTTTATATCGTTACTTAAGAAAAATATCCTTTGTTATTAAAGATGAAGGAGGAGGAGGAGGAGGAGGAGGAGGAGGAGGAGGAGGAGGAGGAGGAGGAGAGGACATAGAAAAATTAAAGGAAATAAACTTATCGAACAAATCATTTTTCGAGAAATATTGAAAAACATATATATATTTTCTCAATTTCATTGATTATATATTTTTTTTTTATTTTTATATTTTTATTTTAAATTTTCGAATCGTAATTTTAATTAATAAAACTAAAAGGTATGGTTTTATTTTACTTTATTCCATTCTCTTCGATGTTGATATTTTTTTATTTGTTTTAACAACAATTTGTTTCGTTGCAACTGATTTTAATTATTATTAATACGACACTTCACAAACAATAGAAGATTGAATTGAAATAACATTATAAATAAATGATATATATATATATATATATTTTCATTCTCAAAATAAACCAATATTTTTATATTTTAAACGGTAAAAAAAAAAGTGATTCCACGTATCGTTCGTTTGGGAATTGGACAGATAGTCGTACATGATTTAAAATCATCGTATTGTTGAATTCGTGCACATTCGGTTCGTTTCGCAGAATTCATCCGTGCTTCTCTATCACGGAGAAAATTAAATTTCGAATGGAACGGGATTACGAGAGAATTGGCTGGAACGATACCTTGACAAAATATATAAATAAGCAGCAACGGTTGATCGAAAGATCACCAATTTCTAAAGGATTGCATCGTACGGCAAATATTGTTGAACCACGGTTCGTTAAACTACCATTGAAATTGCTTTTAAAAAATTACTACGGCCATGTTCGTTTCAAATATTTAAGATTTATTATTGTTAATAAATATTATTCTTACTCGAGTGAGGTCGAAACAAGAAAAATATATGAAAATGCAGTGGAGAATTTATTTCTAATCGTCAAACGAGAATTGCTTCTAAAAATCATATTTTTCTACCGTCAAAGACGAAAATAACGTTATCGCACAAACATCGAATCTTCTGGGAAATTAAAATGTATCCCATTCCGTAGGATTTCCGTGGAGAAAGTGGAGAAATGAAACAAGAAGCTATATTTTAACAAGCCTTTTATTCGATTAATCATCCGTCCGCTAACAATTTTAATCGTATTTTAATTGCAAAAGTATTTAATTGCTGTCGTGCTTTGAAATGCAAAGTCGCAGCAATAATCCTTTAAATGCAAATATTTATTGCGGCTATTCACAATAAGATTTATATAATATTACATTCACATCGGTAACGGGTATTGATCGTGAATCTGATATCAGATTTTTAATTACGATAAAATATTTTTTCACGATTTTAAGAATTGTTTAATACTGTTATGTTTCTCTTATTTCTTGAATACGTCTTAATTTTATTATACACGGTTAATTTTTTTATCAATTTGAAATAATGTACCTCTCTCCAATGTACCGAATAAATATTAAATTAATTATGCGATTGAATTATTTATCGATCATATTTATATATTATTAATTGAACTTTCAATTTATTTTGATTAATCCAATTAACCAATCTCTTCATTTTTTCGTCAATTTAACGAGATTAAAAAATCAACATCTATATGTGTTTTCAATTGAACAAACTCAAAGATTCTTCGTCCATTTATTTTCACTTTTTTCCCTCGATTAACGACATCAACGGTCAATTCATTTCGTAAAAACAACACTTTCGTTTTTTCTCTCGATTAAATACCCATTACAAAATAATTGACGCCAACTATTTTCCTCGATATTTCAATTTCCCATCGGTAATTGATCGATCGGTTCCAACGGTCAATTAAACTCATCCATTTTTCACTTTCCCTTTCAATTTTTTTCTTTTTTCTTTTTTTTTTTTTTCAACAAAACTAACCTATTCAATAAAACTAACAAACTATTCAACGATAAAAATACAATTTTAAGATAAAAGTATTAGAAATCATCCCAGCCATCGCATATTCACGTCATCATATTTATTCGGGCATTAATCACGATTGAAAATTATTCGTATATTTCGTTTTAATGCTAAGCGATGGATATATATCACGAATTTTTCGCTAAGAATACGAAGAATGCGAAAATAATATAATTTTTCAATACTTTATTTACGCTGAAGATTTGAAGAATGCAAAATGTTTCGTGCGCTTTTAGAATTTTATTCATCGAAATATTTATATTTAATGTCTTTTTTCAAACAAAATAATAATACTTAGTGATAGATAAATATATTTCATGTGAACCATTTGAAAATAATAATCATAATTTTGGACAATAGTTTTGAATAATTATGAATATATCGAGTTTTATAACGTTTAACTTTGGACATTGACCTAATGTAAGATGAATTAATAACGATCTCTTCTCTTTAAACATCTCAGTTATATTCTCAAGCACCAAGATGTGCTTCCGAAATCAATTAGATGAAATTGTAAACCCAGAAATATCCCAAGTTTATTGACATTTGGCACATCAAGTTGGATTTGTATTGTTACCAATATTGAACGTTCAGGGGTAAATGGCCTTTCTCATTAATTTGAAATACCGATGATACACTTTCTATCAGAAATCGGAAAGTAATTTTTAACGCTTGAATTCGTTTTGATTGCTAAACGAATAAATAATATGGAAAATTGTTATAAATTTGAAGGCATTCTCAGACATTCGCATAAAATATTAAATCGTACATTATTTAATGAAAATGAAAAAATATTTTGCTATTTTATTTAATATTTATTTATAAATATTAAAGTTTAACGAGCTACCAAGTGATTAAAATAATGAAATAGCGATGTAAACAAGTATTAAATCTAAACAAAAGTTGAAACCTTCCCTTAATGAAAAAAATGTTAGAAAAGCTCGAGGTAAATTTTCATTAAGATTGTGTCCCCGGGCACAGACGTTGCACCTGGTACAGCAATTAGAAGATTCGTGTATAGGAATGAGAACAACGTGTGGTTTGTTTCAAGCGATAAATCGTGGAATTGCAGATGACGCTCCGTTTTCAAATTGTGAATTAAAGAAATGAATTTGAATAAAAGATCGTGTTCACTTCTATACGTGATGGAATAAAATGTAATTATAAAATATAAATATATAAATATAGCGTATAATAAATAATGATAATTAATTAGATTAATTAATTATAATCTAAAATTAAAATCTCTAAATCTTTTCATTTCGGTATTCTTTCTTTTTTCTTTCTAATTAATTCTTTTGTAAGACGCGAAGAAGCGTGAAAGAACATTACATATAAAGGATGTAGATGGCTTTAAAAGCAGTATAATACGTTCCACCAGTTATTTTTCAACTGATAATATTGAAAATTAATCAAAGGAAAAAAATAGAAAATTAAACTTCAATTTAATCGATCATTATTATTATTTTTTAAAATCAAAAAAATTTGTTAACAACGTAATTTCAATTTCGTAAAAATTATTTTTAACGAATCGCCTGAGTTTTTTAACAAGCACTCGAAAATACATATGAACTGGCCTGATGTTTTATTCTTTTTTTCACAGTAGATGTGTGGGCTTTGTCAATATTTCTTCGCGTGGAAATATTCGTTTTTTTTTGCAGATGGAAAAAGTATTGACGAAAAATATAATATTGTTGAAATAAACCGTATCTATGCGATAGTTTCGCGAAAAATATAAATATAAATGTCTTATATATTGTATGAAATAATTTTGGAATATTGGTATTAATTTTTTAAAATTCTAAATTAGAAATTTAGAATCTCTGAATTTTAAATTTTTGTAATATTAAAAAAAAAATTATAATCCAACGTTCATCCAATTTTATAAAATAATATTCTACAACGATTACTATATTGTTGTACGAAAAGTTAAAAGTTATAAATATATCGAAATAATATATGAAAACAAAAAATTGCTAAATAAATTATTAAACTTTTAAAGAAATTTCATCGCGTGACAATAACAAAACATAACTTCCGAATCATGATTCTTGAAGAGAATTTCACCATAAATCTCTACTATTTTATCAAATTATTATCCAATATGGGACTTTTCCATTACTTTTAACTGCAAGAAAGTATAGTATATATCGAATATAACGTAGCGTGGAACAAGAAGACGATTCATTCTTTCACGAAATAGGGATCGTAAATCGAGAAAACCAAGACGTCGATATCTAGCTCGTAACAAATTTATCCCTTATCCCATTTCCTCGATTTCATTCTTTCGCATTGTCAAGTAAGAACTTGGAACAGTAGCTATATCTTTCCATCTTCTTCCTAAGATCCACCTACGTTTCGAATATTCTTTCGTTATTTGCAATTTTTCACTTTAATTCCCCGATTTTATTTATCCCCTTTCGAT